TCAGTAAAGCCAAGCTAACCTGAAACACCAGCAAGCACCATACAGCTGGTTGAATTATATTGAGAGTCACCTGCAGTGCGTACTTCACTGAAATTCCAGGGAATCTCGAACCTGCCACTTCCCGGGTAGCAGTTTGAACAGTTCACCGATCGGTCTGATCAGCAGTGTGATTAACCCACAGGATAGAGCGCCGCTCATCCTTTTCAGAAAACAGATCGGCTTCACTTAAGGGGCGAAATCTGCATTAGAAATCCCCACATCTCCTCACACGACCTGAAAATGCCGTGTAGTCGTTCACGATCGACTATTGTTGTTCACTTGCAATCGGAGGTAGAAAATGAACGGTCTCTAGCGGTAACAGGTTTGCGTTCAAGGGGTGGATGCATCTGGTTACCATGGTTGCGTGGAACATGTTAATTTATGGTTTAATAAACCATAAACCAACCGGTGGGCGAATGAATGATTGCGTCTGGGTGTGCCAACCCCGACTGTTTTACAAATGGTCCGTGCACAAGGACGAAACAAAACAACTGTGGATTAAGTAGGTCAGAATGACGGTTTTCACTGTTCATTGACTTTACGCCTGTGTAGGTAGATGGCTTGGTGGTTTTTCGAACCAGAGAGTCAATAGTTTAATTCATTTAACCGATGTCTTTCTTGGATAGAGTCAACAAGATGGACCGATTTTTAAATTTACCACGCGTTCATGAGACAAGAAGACCGAATCACAGAACAACTGGGTTGCTAGAATCTGTGGACTTATCCAAAAAAGTACTCGTGAAGATTCGTGCGGGTCTGTTTCTTGTTAGACACGTTGCCGGTAAAAGGTCTCTTTGATGAAGATAACTTTTGTGGTAGGGGGGGGGAATGGTGCAAACTGTTCAGTTTTACACAATGACATTTGTCTCTTGCCTAGCCAAGACAAGAAACGAAGTTGGTGAGTAAATTTCAGATGGGCCCTGTGAGAGAGCGTCAGTAGAATGGGCTGATTCGAGTGGGGTTGGACAATAGGTGGGGATACATCCGGTCCGACCACACGCGGAACGGGGGGGGGAAATGGTGCAAACTGTTCAGTTTTACACAATGACATTTGTCTCTTGCCTAGCCAAGACAAGAAACGAAGTTGGTGAGTAAATTTCAGATGGGCCCTGTGAGAGAGCGTCAGTAGAATGGGCTGATTCGAGTGGGGTTGGACAATAGGTGGGGATACATCCGGTCCGACCACACGCGGAACACATTGCTGATAGCTTTCGTCTTCCCAGACTGAACAGGTGGACAAAAGGCGCCTAGAAAATGCATCCCTTTGAGTGTTTAGAAGCTACTAGGTGCTACGCACTTGTCCCATTGGACACCTCAGGTGCGGTACCCCTTTACGGGACTTCAACTGCAGTTCTGCAGTTGGAACTGAAGGCAAGCTCATATGGTCATCTACGCGAGTCAACGCAGTTGGGTTGTCACCCGTAGTTGTCCACCAAAACGAAGGGAAAGGGCTCAGGGCTCCTGGAGATACCACTCTTCAAGCGAGTGTTATTCTATTAGTTGATCATAAAAACGACCATCGTTAGGCCAACATGATAGTTCAGTGGTTAGGGCACGAACGTAGTGCCCGGGAGGCCCTTGGTTCAGACCGGCCTCTCTATCTCGACTGCTCCTGTTTAGGCTTGGCCCTCATACTCGCTTCCAGTTGGATGGCAGCTAAGTACCGAAAAGGTGTTACAGCTGAACGAGTGTTTAAGTACTAACGGGATACGGCAAAGTATTGGGAAGTCATTTAGCGACCCAGGTTCTGAGTGCAGGGGAACCTGAAACCCAAAATACGCATTCGGTGTTCGCATTTCCGTACGGATTTATTGCACCCAGGTTGGTTTTAGCGCAGAGCATGGTACCGTGACCTCCGCTATAACGTAGCATAATTTTTTAAGAAATCCTTCGGAACTGGAAAAAAAACCGTTGACTAGTTGTTGGTCTGTTCGCCGAGCTTGGCAGTTGGATTGTAACCCACTCAACCCTGCACTGACGATATCACCTCGATTGGTGATGAAATGTTTGCAATCCAACTGCCAAGCTCGGCGAACAGACCAACAACCAAACAACGCACCCGAGCTACCTACATTCCACAAGATTGCTAAAACCGTTGACTGTTCGGAGGTATCCACATTTCACGGTCCTATAGAAGGAAACTATCCTATCACCACAAATACAGTCGCCTCCATGTGGGGTCCCTGCATATAGAGACCACCCCCTACAAGGGCCTTTCTCAAGCCTGACAGTCAGACAGTCGTCCATATCATCGTTGTCGCACGTTTGAATTAGGACAACGAGGGTCGGATGCTTCACGCTTGCATGAAATGGATCCGAATTAGACTAAGTACAGTTTTCTAACGGGTGGTAGGGGTGATGTAAAGTGAAGGATATTGCGGAGCGCGGTGCCAAAATAGTCGCGGATCGCAGCCGTTGATCAGAGTTGTACACTAGCCAACCGGGTTATTCAAAATGGTCTGCATCTTTGAAGGATATGGAACCAAGGAGAGCAATATCGTCCGCATACTCAATGTCTGTGATCGAACGTCCCGGGAGCCTTTCGAGGTTTTAGAAGCAGGCAGAGAAAGTTCCAGCAGCACATCAATGACAAAGTTGAAGAGGAAAGATGGGACGTGGTGAACTCAGGCGAGAGCTTCCCGTGTACACAGGAGTTCGCATACGGTGCCCTCATAAGAGATATCAATTCGGACGGGACACCTTTGATAGCCAAACACCGCCGAACTTCTCATGATCGACAGAGTCAAGAACAGCTTTGAAATCCAACGGGAGACGTTTGAATCTGTGACGTTGTTCAAGAACTTGTCTCAAGGTAAATATATGGTCGGTGCATCCACGGTCAGGGCGAAACCCAGCTTGATTCTCACGAGTTCGTCCCTCGAAATAGGCTTCGGCAACCTAGTAGTATCATCTCAGTCCCCGTGCTTCCTATGAGTAGCACAGCAGCTAGGCATCGATTCTGTTACTATTATTATTATTATTATTACACCTCAAGGCAGTAAATCTAAGCTGGTTATAAACGCTACCTAGCAGAATCATCTATGACCCTTCCCAAGAAGAATTGACTTGCTGGAGAAAATTGTCATCTTCCAGATTCCTACTTTGTACACATTTCAAATCATCGGGCTAGTTAAAAAATCTTTCATTTACTCTGGTTGATCCTGGTTTTTATGACCGTCAAAAAACTGCGCTATAAAGGTTCATCTGATTGTCTGAGGGTGTGCGCATGAGGGGCGATTTTCGTTATCTGGCTGCATCATTGAGGTCCTTGTCACGTCAGACGCTAGGTACTTTTAGGATGCAGTCCAAGTTGTGCACGATGGCAGTTCTAGACCATGCCCAGACCGACTGTACTTTTTCATCGCGTCGCTGAATGCAGTGGCATGAATCCAACGTGAGACGGAGAAATGGCGTTGTCTGGCGTGACAGGCATATTTGGTGGTCTCCTGAGCAGCCATATGAACCGAGTTGGGCTGTCAAAACACCCTGGCTGCTTCCACTGTCCTCCGACTCTGGAGGGCATTGGGTACTGCAACTGGACATCCTCAACTTTCAGCTCTCAATCCGTCTTTCGTCATCACTCAATCACTAAAACTTTCGAACACACACGTACAGAAAGAACACTTGTCTGTCGATTTACCCGGTTCCCGGATGCCGCAGCGTTTGACCGTCGCGCACGACATGAAGAGTTGAACGGTGGGCAATTATGGACAGTTGTGTAGTACAGTCGAGTGGGATGACTCGGGCACATCAGGTCAGCTCGTAAAACTGCCTGGGAGATCCGGGATTACGACCAACACAGTCGATTAGTCTCCGGTTCACTTGTACAGTACATTGGTTTGGTTTGTTGTTTAACGTCGATAAATTATGATTTCAGGGCAGCGAACGATCGGTATGGAACGCTGATATTGCGCTTTCGACGATGATGATGGTTTACGCAGTACGGTTAGAAAGCGCACGGTGGCGGGTTGGGACGATCGATTGACGCCCTGTCTTGTGTGCACCAAGAGTCGTATCTTAAGAGTACACACTGTCTGGCAGCAGTACACCTCAATTGGAACGGTCACGTGCACACAAATAAAGTACAAGCCATCCACGTGTGGCAACAATCTGTACGTGTGGGGGGGCAAATAGTATACACGTACACAATTCTGCCGGTAGAATTCTCAAGTCACGATAACTTGCGATATAACGATACAGGCTCCTACAGATAGATCAGGCAATTTAGCTAGCTACAACGGGCGAACATAGTCCATCCCAAGGGGGGCAGGATGAAGTCTGGGCTGTGAGCGAAACGGCCTGCTTGCAAAACAGTTTCTTGGCAAATAACCATCCTCGAAGAGACCACTGCGTTTTTCACTAGCTTGATGTGTGCACGGCAAAGTCGAGCTTGAGCGATGTGACGATTCGCTGGGTTCGGTTAACCCAGGGGGGTCAGAGAGGAGAAACGCGAAAAAGGACAATGTACTTACACACGCGGCCCGTCGCTGTCAAAAATGACCGGAAAGGATTCAGTATGAACAAAACTTGCGGATCGGAGGCCAGATGACCAAGTGATTAGTGTGCGAATTTACTGACCGGAAAGTCTGCGGTTCGAAACCGACCTCTGCACTCCGACTTCCCCTGTATAGGCTTGGGAAACCTGGCAGTATCTCAGTCCTCATGTCTACTTAGGGTGGCATGACAGCTAGGCACCGAAAGGATGTTACGGCTGAACGATTTCTTGTGGATCTCAACAGGTACCCAAACTCTTTCACCTGGAAGCATCCCCTTGTCAGGGGGTAAGTCGTACTGAGCACGACACCCGAATCATGTCCAGTAAAACCAGATCTGTATGGCACAAGGGAACTGTGATCGAAACCAAATTAAAAAAAGAACATTCTAAGGGATATAATTCAAAAACAAACCCGGCTGTGTGTATGTTTAACGACACATGCAATTTATCGGTACAGAATACCTACCGTAATTCCAGTGCAGCCAGTTCGGACTCATCAAACACTTTGCAAGGTATTGTACGAACTCCTGTAGTCGCAGAACCTCGTTTTCTACCGCCGCTTAGCGTACCCAAGCGGTCCGACGATTGCAAACCGTAGTTGAACAAGGGATGATACTGAGTCCCAACACCGGTCTGAGCGGTCGTTCTCGAATTGGCCAACGACTGGAGCAACAATTGTTGATAGTAGGTCGGGTTGATCCAATTGTTACCACTACCGAAAGGTTGGCTGGCCGCGTTGGAAACTGTCTGATTGCTGGTACACATCACATTCGGGGACTGTCCCAGGCCATAGAATGACTTGAGTGGTAGTCGAACTCCGTTCGAGTAGAGCGGAGCTGAAAGAGCGGACTGGTAGGCAGAGACCGGCAAGGAACCGGGAACCTTTTCACAAGGTGTGTTGGACAGTGTGGGACTTTGATAGCATCGATCGGTGGCTACGGCTGGTAAGAGACTTCCGGTATTGGTGTAATTCAACAATGGATTGGTCGGTAGTGATGGGTAGAACGGTTGTGTGTAGGTGGATGGAAACCACATGCCGCTCGGGTCCAAATAGGTGGCGGGCCATGTTGACATCGGGTTGCCCGTATCGAGTGGAACGGTGGTTTGGCTTGGTATGTGTTCGGCCAATCCACTTGTTGTACTGGCGTTTGATGGTGTGCTGTTATAGATACTTTGGATGGGTGTCGCACAGCCAGTCGATCCAGTTGCGGAGCAGGTCTGCATCACCAAGGTGGCTGGATCTGCGACGGACGGTATGACACCGTGAGGTAGAGCGTACATGGAACCGTTGTTCACGAGCGGTGAACCTTTCAGCTGGGACTGAAAGTGAAATAAGGGAGAGAGAGAGAGACGGAGATAGAGAGCTGACTGGTTTGGTGCATTCAGGGACATAGAAACTCGAGACTGTAGACACAGCTCTCCAAACGGTGAAAGCATCATCAAATAAATGCCAGTGTTGATCCTGATGCTGGATTGCCGTTGTACGTGGGCTGGGATATTGTCAGAGCACCCACACTTAGATGGCCTTTGGCTCAAAAGCCTAACCGAAAGGCAGCGGCGTTGGGCTGGAAATGCAAATACATTACCATTACGCCACACATGTTTCAACCCCCAACCTGGTGGGGCCAGAAAACTGTGTTGATCATACCTCTAACCACTGACCAACCAGGTATGAGAGACTCTGTGAGTGTTGCGCGGACACATCCCCAGTATAGCTCAATGGGTCGCCGAGGTACACAAGCGGCCACACCACACTACACTAAGCTTCAGTCTTTTTGTAACGGAAGGCATCATCAGGTTTTGGACTTCGGCAACATCCTCTCCAATTGCCGGGGACACAAAATACACAACCAGTGGATTTGCTTGTTGGCGGTATGCACAGTCTGAAAGTAATGGCTATACAAAAAGAAAAACCTGAGTATAATTACTTAGTTTGAATTCATCCTTGCCTAAAGTGGAAACTCCGGAAGGGCCTGAGGAGCCGATAACAACGTTTACCATCAAACAAGTGGTAGGTTTCCTAAGAAGAAGGGTCACTTGTTAAGAGGAACAAAACACTCCTTTACCCGTGGTGGTTCCTCTTGGGAAATTACTTCAAACAAACACGAAGGTATTGGATGCTCCAATCAGTGGAATTAACTATGAAGATGGTTGAGCGCACTCAACAGTTGATAAAAACTGATAAAGTGACTCCCATTCCTGTCCCCCTCCAAACTCTTCAACAGCCCACGAAGAGTTTTCAGTAACCTTCTGAGTAGTTTCCTTTACGAAAATATACTGCGATATCTCGATTATCGTGCCAACTGAATCATGAGGCGGCCTTTGTGCAGCACATTTGGTTGTGGAATATCGTAAACGAAAGATTTAGTTGAGTCTCTCGTGAAAACCAAATTGATTTGCAAATGAGTGTATTTCTTGAAAACAGTGCAGTTTGGGTTCAAGTAGAACATAAGGTTGATGGAAACTCGAAGACTGCCCCTACCTGATGAGCCACAAGGGCGAAACCCGTCGTGGGCTGTCGAAGAGCTTTCAGCAACCTTGTAAAAAGTTTCCTTTATGAAAATATACTGCGATATCTCGAATATCGTGCCAACTGAAACATGAGGCGGTCTGTGTGCAGCACATTCAATTGTAGAATATCAAAAACGAGAGAATCAGTTGAGTCTCTCGTGAAAACCAAATCGATTTGCAAATGAGTGTATTCCTCGAGATTGCCACATTGTCTCAGTGCCAGCTGCGACAAGGAATCAACCACAGTAAATATTTATTTCTTTTTCCATCCAACTGGTCACCTGTGGATCAGCGCTCTGATGCATGCTCATTGGAACAAAGTGACTGCGCGTGCAAGCAGGTGCAGCCCTCAGAACGTCACTATTCGTTTTCCAGAAACGTGAGAGCAAACGCGAGTAAATCGAAGCTTCGAGGAAGTCTGTAATCAAATCTACCGGCACCTTTTTTGTAACTAAATCGGCACATTTCTTCACAAATGCAGACAACACCAGTGAATGAAAATTGCCCGGAGACATTGCTGCTTTGGTAGCCTCCGTTTTTGTCTGGTTTTTCGACAGTGGTTAGCATGGATCCAAACAACAGGGGCAAATCAGTTCTACGGCTTGTTCCATCAGAAAAGCCACTGTGGGCGCACTGAAGTCTCTGATAATCAATGACCTTAGGACCATAGCTAATGAATGTTAACGTCAACGGATTCGCAGTCATGTGATTATCGAATTGGGTTTGCTAGGGGATACGGGGGTAACTTCACTTCCGCTCAGCTAACTATATGTATATACTTTACACATATATAGTATATATACATATACTGCTATACTATACACATACCAGCCAGAACTGAGACATAAGAAATAGAGGAATAAGCCTAAAGGTAACGAAAGATTCGGGTTGAACTCTAGGGATAGTTCTAGCAAGTAAGCAAGCGAGAATTCGTTCACTGCATGTCCAAAACAATTGTGCTAATATAGGGGGTTGGTTGGAATTTATCTATGCGGAGAAGCCGAGAAGCACCGCACAGCCATTTCAGTCTTGTTGGAAATCATCGGAAACGCGCATCTCACGAAACTCAAGGGAGTTTAGGGCCCGCGACCTCCCGGCTAGTAGTTTGGACAATTGGTCGTGTGCGGCTATGAGTGACTAATCAGTGAGGCGATTCGCTCGCACTTTGACAGGATACAGCGCTGCGAGACTTGGCCTGTTCGAGCAGCGGAACTGAGACGTCGACAATCGTTGTCTCAGAACCACAGCTCGCGTGCGTTGGTATCGGCGAATCCGTAATAAGGCAGTTAGAAAGCGCGTTTTCGGTTGTGTAACGGGTACTTCCATTGAAGAATGTGTCCAGCACCAAAAGCTGCGTTGGTTGGGACATGTGTTGCGTATGCCGAACCATGGTTTACCGAAGAGAGTGCTGTTTTCCATGCCCAATTCAGAGTGGCGCAAACAGAGAGGTGGTCAACCCTTGACTTGTCAGAGGAGTATGAAGAAGATCACGAAACGCTTGGGTACTGTCGGTGCTACTCACCTTCCAGGATGGGGACCGCGTGATCCTCACTGTGCCTGGTTGGCTGCCAGCCGATGTCAGTGGCGTTCTTGCTGTCAGTTTCTATCCAGATTGTCTGAGTGAATGTCTGGAGGAATGATTGGGTTAAGCTAGCACTAAGTCCCTTTGATTCGCCGGCCTGTGGTATCTGCTGCTGACCCGCTCCAGTGCCTAGTGTCGGAGAGGAAAAGACTCACGGAAGGGAACAGAATAGCTATATTCCGAAAAAGTGGTTGCGAGAGCGCGAGTGCGAAAAGTACAATGGCCTCAGGCTTTTTATTGGAAGGACACTGTCTGAACTTGGTCCAACGCTGACTCGCGCTGCCTGGGTTTGATGCAAGGCTGTGACGCGCTGCATATTGAGGGGGCGTTGTCTGTCTGGTCAACACCCAGCGGAGCTGAGAGTCTCCGTGGATTCCGGGCATTCAGTGGTTGCTTTCAGGAAGCTGACCTTCCTGATAATGATATATACCAGCCAAAACTGAGACAGAGGAAATAGACGGACTAGCCGAATGGTTACAAAAGATTCGGGTTGAACTCCAGTGATAGTTCTAGCAAGCAAGCGAGAATTCGTTCACTGCATGTCCAAAGTAAACGTACCGCAGTCGTATGAACAAACCTCTACTCCAGAAAACTCATATACGAGCACCTCTAGCTATCCCGAAATTGTGAAAAGGTCACTTTGATGTGTGCCTTTCTAACACCAATTGATAATTTGTTGATAAAAGTACAACAAACAGAACTCGGGTTGTTGATACATTGAGCCCCTCAAAACGACTTCCACTCATGAATTACGCAATCGCGGCAAACTGTGAAGTCGTAGATGTGTGGAAGACAGCTTTCGAGTAATATTTAGAGAATGTGAGAGCACTGTGATGGTGAACGAGTTATCGGATGAACCGCTATAACACATTAAAAACGAGTTGCCAACCGATAGCCATTCGAGAACGTAACTAAATTCTACAGCGTGGATGTGATTGCTGTCAAAAATTACGGTTGTGCACAAAGGCAGTTAGTTATTAGTTATTAATTCTACCATCGATCGGTTATCAAGACACCACAACCGCTCATTTCACGTGGATTTTCTATTTCGGTCCGATATTGATCGCTAACTGTTTGCATAGCGTTTTTCTTCCGCATGTTTGCGTATTGGTCCCCACCCTACCCCAGTATAACAAACAACTTCAGACAATGCTCGTGAAAACAGTCGCTCGCTAAAATATGCGTTCTATTTTTGTGTGTTTGTGAAAACACGGTCACGTAACCTGCACTAGTTGAGGCCGCTTTTTAGCAATGCCACGAGGGCCCTTCAAACGGAGCAGTCCGGATGGATTGCAGTTTTATTCCGGAACGCCTCCGATACAATTCCCGAAACTCACACCCAAAGTCGTGGAGTCCTTTAGCTTAGCGGTCAATCATAAACAGTTTTAGGACTAAGATAGCGCTCGATGCATTTGTTGTGAATGCACGGATTGGGCCATCGCTTCAACTAACGCGCGGCTTTCATTTCCTTAGTCTCCATATCCTCAGTGAATGAAGTCGTAGCGGATGGTGGAACCATGGCACGGTTTATGAACCGTAAAACTGAAACTGAACTGAACTCGACGTGAAGCTCTGGAGAAAAGAAACTACAACGAATCCGACGAAACTCGGGTCACTGAAAGTTACAGCAAGGACAACAAGGAGTGTTATCATCTGAGATACCTCATCTAATGGAAATGAAGTAAGTGACTGCGTTTCAGTAGGTTGCGCAATAGTAATTTTTATACATGCAATTGCTTTACGGCAAGAACATCTTGTGAGAGAATGGACCAACTCCAAAGATGCCACGTACTGTCCAGCAACGTTCAGACGTAACCACTCTGGGTCTGATTTGACGGTATTGATCCAGGCCTTCAGTTGCGCGCAGTGAGGAGAGTGGGCATGCACGCTCGAGACAGCTCAGTGTCTAACTGTGAAATCAATGATCGTGAGGTTTGTGGTTCGAGCCCACCATCTAAACTGCTCTTGTCTGGGCTCGGGCAACCTGGCGGCATCTCAGCCCTCGTGCTTCCTTCGGATGGCTTGCAGCTATGCACCAAAAGGGTGTCATAGTTGAACAATTACTAGTAAGCTGGGGAAGCCTGCTTAGGCTGACAAAGCTCGCTTTTAGCCTTTCGGACAATGTGACCGAACCGATTGACAATAGTGTCCTGAAGTAGCTGCCAGAATAATGTTCTCTTGCCAAAGAATAGGACATTTTGTCGAGCCCTCGAAAGTTAAGGATACT